GGGGGGGGGAATTACAGGCAAGGAATTTGCTGCATGTTTCGTCAAAGCGATATTACAAAGCGCGATTGGAGCTTTTTAATCTGCATAGCAAGTAAAAATAGCACACAATCATTCCTCTTCTTTACTCGATGAGAGTGTACGCCATTAAACATACAAAATTACATTGATAAATAGCATGCCAAGAATTGATATTGTTTTTGCTTCATTTCAATGGCCATCCGTTAGCCTGTCTATGGCGTTTTGTATTGTTTGCTAGCATTAAGCTAAATGAACTTGTGAAGCCACGTGGTTGATTTAAGCACACAGTACACCTTATTTTTTATTTGCCTTATGGAAGTCAGCCTGTTTTGACGGGGAAGTCCTGTTTCATGCAAATAAACCTGATAACTGATAACCCCTCGACTGTGGGATCAATACAGATTTTGTCGCTATGACGACGAAAGATAGAACTGGGAACTGAGTTTCAAAAGGCAAATAAGAACTACTAAGCTCGCGTGAGCCCTCATAAAGACAGTAAAACTGTTGATTGTATTTTCACACTGCAGCTCTGCTTAGCCTTTGGCTTAGACTTTCAACATTTGCTTGAAAATGTCGGCTCTTCATCCCGTCAAGATACAAAGTCGTGAGGAGAGAAACTCACTTTGGGAGCATCATGTAGTAAATTTGACGTAAGGCTGTGGCACAGCGACATTGTCAGAAAAAGGTTAAAAAAACCCAGAAGATTTCCTTGTTTTCTTAATTTAACAATTGATGGGCGGCCAGGCACTCCAGACAAAATTATTAGTAAACAAACATTGGAAAAAAAAAGTAATCAATTTCCTATAATATTTCACATTAAAATAAAAACAGACACGTGTGTTGGCGCCTTTCACCTCACAAACCCAACAACTGTATCTGTTATAATTGGATTGCTTGGTGGAAATGTGGCAATAATGGAACTCCAGCCACGCAAGTCGACAGCAAGTGAGCAAAAGAAAGTGAGCGAAAGAGGAGCCACCTCACCACCTGAGCTTGAGTGACAGACACGACTGTTAAAAAGGGAGAGAAGGCTTAAGGTTAAGTTTCACAAGGCAGCTTCGGTTACCTGTGACGTGCGTCCTCGGTCCACGTATGTGCAGATGGGGTTGTACGCTCCCGTTCCGCACACGTACAGGTGAGTACGGTTCCACGGCTCGATCAGACGGATGAAGTTACCGCATTCGCCCTTCAGGAGAACAGTCATGATCAAACAGGATGATGGAGCAGTTCTATCAGGATGTCTCCAGTTGAAAAACAAACAAAAAAATACAATAGATGTTTGATTTTTGGTGTTGTTTTATTGGACACATTATTTATTTGTATTTGAGACTCTTTCAATGTTGTCAATTAATGTCATTCAAAATGGCGCCGTAGTTGGCAGCCGTCTGCGAGACCTCTTTAAGAACTCTGCTTTTTTTGTTGTTTTTGTCTTTTGTTTTGTCATAGTGTTTGTTGTCCTTAGTGTGGACCTGTTGTGGACTGTTTTCAGCGTTTTGGCCATGACGTTCATCAAAGAAGAAGAATCTGTAGTTAATGGTTGGGCCTTCCTCGGTAGCACATGTGTACCAGCACAGATATTGAACGGGAGGAATTTTGGCACAGTTTGACTCGCGCCGCTGGACAGCCCCGGGGCGCTTGTGTTTTTTGCGCCTGTAATGGGCAGCATTTTTCACAGCCCCGGTTAGTTCAGCGAAGATGTTGGCGCTGTTGGACAGTTTGCGTTGGTGCAGCTGATTGGATGGCTGGCTGGTGGAGCTGAGGATGAGGGGAGAGGAGCGTCGGCGTGCAGCACGGATGCATATTTGAAACTGAGAGTCGGCGCTTGGAATTGAAGCGGATTTACATGGGATGGGAGAAGTGAACCAATCTCTTTTTTCGTCAGTGGAAGCTACAGCTTCTTGTTTAGTTTCAAACTTAGCTTGGAGCACCTTTTGATCATGACATGTCTCATCCACTGGTGAAAGGACACTTTGATTCTCTTCTCATCTAAAACTTCATCAGACAACAAGGCGTATGCTGGAATATGGTTATGATTGCATGACTGTTCATGTTTTATGTTATGTGTTTTGTTATATTACCGTATTTTGTTATTTTATGTTAAATATTCTGTAAAGCGCTTTGTTACAGCTGCAGCTGTTGTGAAAGCGCTATCAAAATAAAGAAGTCTTGTATTCTATTGCAATTATTGAATAGCAGTGCGCAAATCCTGTTTAAACAAAATATGAGGAGTTTTACTTACAGTATAGTACGTTTTTCTCCCTTACTGTATCCAATGTGAACTGTACTGTCACCTTAAAACCAAATTCTGACCGGACCTTCATTTTGGCAGGATCACATTGCATCCCTTACTGATGCTATCTCCGAAGGAGGAAAATTCGCCGGTCCCCCATCAATCCATGTCATTTCTCATTCTACACAACAGCGAATCAGAAAAGGCAGATCAATTCCGGCTGTGCAAAAGCAACATAAGATCCATCTCTTACCACAAAATGTAATATAATATTCTGGGGCCCCTTCTGCACCTCTTTCCAGATTTGTATTTCTTTTTTTTCTTGATTTTTATTAACAAACAACCAGATGACCCTGAGTGGAAGATTAAAAAAAAATAGAAAAGTCAAAAAGAAGTCTTTTAATAATACATACTACCCCACTGGTGGTTAATAAGCCCTCTGCCAAGCTTTAAAGCCCTCACATTCATCATTTCCGCTGCTGGCTTGTTTGGCAGCTCTGTTCCATGCTCGGATTCGGGCCAGAGCCCGGATCACTCAATGCTGTCAGAAAAAAAATATAAAAAGCAGAACTACACAGCGTGTGAGGAGTGCTGGGGTCGGGACAGAGTGGAAACCCAATTCATTGTCTTGAAAATGTTGGGGCCCAAAGTATTCTACTACTTCATGTACTGGCATTTGAAAACGTGAGTAATGTGGTTTGTTCAGCATGTGGATGACCTCAGTGGTAACGATGGCCACCACAACACTTCCACAAGCAAATAAAGAGGTGCTGTTGGCTGTTTCTTGTCTCAGTTTGCTAAAACAGCTGTTTCTCCATAAAACTAGACATGGTACAGTTTGTAATTTACAGCTTTACCGATTAAAGTCCTGATTATCGGACGTTTCTAAAAGATGATCCTGGTTATCCTGTGGTGAGTTATGAGGCCCCGAATAGCAAAAAAAAAAAATAATAATAATAATAATCACAATAAATAAATAAATAAACAAATATGATTAATTTCGAAAGAAGGTACTAGGCATGGACATGCCTACACAACAAAGACTCTCCTAATTTCCACGAACGATGCCGGGTAAACGAATTGCATCATTTAATTCTCTTGGCAACAATTATTGGACTACTTTCCTATGTTGACAGCTTTGATGGCATCGTAATATGTTTCCAGATAAAATCACAATAAACGTCAAAAAGATGGCGAAAGGTTCCACAACAAATACATGAATAGGTGAATTTGTGAAGAATGAATCACAAACAAGCACCTCGATTGAGGGTCGCTGCAGCCGTGATTCAATTGACAGCATAAAACTAAGATTTGCATATGCAGGACGGGGGTGAAGCTATTTTTGGCAGTTATTAGCAACACAACAGATGCGCGAGCCCGACGTTTCCTGGGGAGCGCGCGTGTGTGTGTGTGTGTGTGTGTGTGTGTGTGTGTGTGTGTGTGTGTGTGTGTGTGTAGATGTGACCCCCCCACCCCCCCACTGAAAGCACAACAGGAATGATTGTCTTTGACCTCGAACCTGCACCGACATCCACTGTCAATTGCTTCTGAATTGTCACCATCTGTCTGGCCCCGAAAGAGCATGTGAAGATTGCAGTGAAGAGTTGTCTCCCGCAAGCCGCCGTTATTTCTTTTGTTTACCGATGAAATTTTAAACCCGCACACACGTACCGCTCACAAGCAACGAGAGGCCGATACCAAGTAGCCGGAGGCGAGAGAGAGAGGCAACGGGTCAGCGAACATGCACAAATGAACATTCCAGTTGGATAAACAGCAGCCTGCTCTCTCTACCTCGTCACTCCCTTCCACTTCGCTCCTTCCGATGAAATGTGTGGGTGCACCTCAAAAGCAAAGAGATCTGGTTTTTGTATGCATTTCATCATGATTAGCTTTCACCCTATACTGAACAGAGGGGGTTAGGATTAGTGCCTGTTTGCATGTGTGGATCATATTCACACTATAGAGACGTCTGGAAGCTACTAAAGGCTAACAGTTTTTTTTTTTTTTTTTTTGCTTGTTGTTTGGACCACAAAATTTGAAATGATTGCAAGATACTGAATTGGCTTCCTGTGCAGTACTCAGTTGCCTTCCAGCTAGATTTTATCCCGAAAACATTCCGTAACCGAGGAAGCAAAAAATGTACAAAAGCACAACAAATTCGAACCTGATCTGATAAGATTTGGCAGAGAAATACATATCAAGTAAACATGTAACAATGGAAAGTTTCCATGTTTTAAGTGAAAATTGGATCAGGTCCGAATCGAACTGGTTTGACATCACAGCTCCTAGTCCTGCATGCACGCAGCAAAAAAAAAAAAAAAGCAACAAAAAACTGACTTGGTCGGTAATGTTTTGCAAAAATATATGAGATATATTTAAAAAAAGAAATGAAAATGAAACCAAAAATATGACATAAAAAAAGTAGAATTAAAAATATATATACAGTCAAACCTCGGTTTTCGAACGTCTCTGTTCTCGACCAAGTCGGTTTTCGACCAAAAATTTCGAGTTTTTTATGCCTCGGATTTTGACCGAAAATCGGTTCTCGAACAAACTGAGCGCACTTGAATGCACCACTTGACTCCTCTCGCCTTCCTTACACGAGGGAGTGACGCTTCCTCGGGTAGACGAGGAAGTGACGTTTCCTCGTGTAGCGTTCCATTGTGAGCAGACGTGTTCAATAAAGATTTTTTTTTAAAAAGAGCGTGGTTTCGGTTTTCGAACAAATTGGTTTTTGAACAGCCTTCTGGAACGGATTATGGTCGAAAACCGACGAGGTATGACTGTATACATGCGGATTATGGTCGAAAACCGAGGTATGACTGTACACATAATTTTGGCTGATTTTTGAAGGGCCATAATCGGACGATTTAGTCAGCCAGCCAATTGATCGATCGGGCAATTCAGGTCGATCAGTGAAACAGTTTTTCTAACTTTCCCGAGTGATTTTCGGGGCATTGGTTTGAGACTCCCAAAGGACATGCACTTTTATCAGAACACAGGCAGTCTGCCATGTTGAGGCCACCAAAAAAGCAAGTCATTGGTCGGAAGAAGAATAATAAACAGCGATTCCAAGAAGGCCTTCATCCCGCCTGGGTCTTGGGCCCTTATTATACGTGTGTGCAATATGCTGTCTTCCCAGGGTTCTATGGAGACTCTTCCGCGTGGGCCATTCCGAGGAACTGCTCCCTTGAGCGTCATTGAAAGCAGCTGTTCGCAATCAGCAATCAACGCTGTCGCTATCCTGGACGAGAGTGTGACATCTAAGTGGCACTTTGGAAGGACACCCCCCCCCCCCCCCCACACACACACACACACCCACATTGTGGCACCTACTGATGACCTCAGCGCAGCAGCAGTCAAGAATTGGTGACCAAGTGAACCCCACGACCGAGTCGCTGGTCAACATTTGAGTGAGAACTCAACTAATCGCAAACTCGGAAGAACTGAAACAAAAACAATTTGCTCATTCACTTAATATTTGTGCTTATCGGCGTATTTTTGCCCTCTTTAATGCCATAAGATACTACCCAAACGCCTTCTAATGTGCTAGTCTATTTTATTACTTTGTAAGGTGACTTTTGAAATTATATTTAAGTGTTTGGGTTATTAATGGAGGCAATATAAATATTTGTGTGTTCACTGCAAAGACTGTCGACCATATCAGCATGTGGTACACTTCTCTGAACAGTAACAATTGTTCAGAGTAGACACACACCATCATTTTCCTTTTACAACTGTAAATGATTAACCTGTTCAATATTTATGGTGGCAACTCCTTACGTGTGTGGTCACCACAGGCAAAAAGTTGAATCGAGGCAAAGGTTTTTCTTTTCAAGCAGTTAGGTCACGTTCAAAGCCTGGAACTCACGTACCAATAAAAATTCCAGATTACCGCACGTCTCAAGATTTTTGACTGGTTATGATCAACCCTGATTAATTGAGAAGAGAATCAAACAAGTGTCAAGGTAAATGCTGGCGTTGACACACAGCAGTAATCATGACAAATTTTACATTTCACCCCCCTCCCAGATTCTGATTAAAGTCAACAAAGTTATAATTATCAGATACCTCTGAGAGATTATCCTGAGCGATGAATTAACCTGTGGTGTGTGACATTTTGAGAGTGACTTAGGCCAGATTTATGGTTTGACGAATGAGATTTGCGATTGTTGGTCAAGATATCGCTATGTCTCTGGTGTCTGTGTCGGTCATCTGGAGTACACCAACACCACACGCCATACAAGCAGTGAGTTAGTCACACTCACATTGGTGTCTTTTCCAGACAGGACGCATTCAGACTTCCTCTGAGGAGCGACAGGCCAGTGGATCTTTAAAAAAAAAAAAAAAAAGACAGATCAATGAACTGAGATGCAGAACATTAGCTAAATCCCTTTCGGAATTTTTTGCCATCGCATGACAATCCTTACAATGAGTGGCTCCTTGTTTATGTCGTGCAGATCCAGAGACAGGATGTAATCTTTGCTACCCACATACATGCGGTCGTGGTCCTCGTCCATGCGAAGAATTCGATAGTCGCTCGAGTTTAGCAAGAAGGAGAAGTGGTGAGCGGTGCCGGTCGACTTTAACTCTGTCAAAGAGAGAGAGGGAAAATAAATGGTTTTGTTCGAGGCTGTGGTGGAAGAAAAACATACCGTAAAATTGGGAAACAAAAATCACAGACGCGGTCGTATGGGATGCTGTGCAGGCTGCTCCATTGTGGCGCCAAATTCTCGATTTATCCGCTCGTTTGAATGGGCCGTAAGGTTGTCTTTACCACTCGGAACCACCCGCATACACAAAGACACATATAATGATGGTACATGTGCATATACAGTCGTAATGAGGCGGTGAACCCTCAGACGCCCCAAAATTATTTTACACAATACGGACTTTATTTTAAAACAGCGATGTGACTAAATGCTTCTTTTTGGATACATATAAATATCATCTATGGATGCCATCAGTCAGTCATGGAATGAATTAAACTATGAAGTCAAGGTACCACTGCAATATGTGATATTTTTTTCTCACTGTATGATTGTCAAGCTAACATTTCTGCCTCCTTTGTGAAAGTGATCAACATCAGAAACACTCCTTGGGTGATGAAGTGCAGTTCTACAATAGGCTCCAGCGCAGCAAGCGCTCGCGAAATTCGGACATATTTGCAGTAAACTGTTTCTTTGGAGGCATAATTGTAGTTTTGCTTGTCGAATGATTCTTGTCAGTTTGGTTTGTAGAGGCTAGCACGCCTACGTCACAATTGAGAAATGCTGGGTTTGAATTTGGACTTTGGTGTGGAGTTTGCAAGGTCTTCTCATGCGTGCATGTTTTTTCTCTGGGTAATCTGGCTTGCTCCCACATTCCAAAAGCATGGCGTTAGGTTCATTGAAACTCCAAATTGTCCGTAGGCGTGAATGTGAATGGTTCGTTGTCTATACTGTATTTTTCCCCGGCCAGTGACAACCAACCGTTCCAGTAGGGTGCACCCTGTCTCTCACCCAAGTCACCTGGCAAATAATCCAGCTCACCTCATGACCCGAATTGGAACAAGTGCTGTAGAAAAATGAATGGATGGATGTTTTCATTCCAACCCAATGCCACAAGAGCTTGGAGGGGTGCAGAACTGAAACCCAATATTAATCACTGCTGTATAAGTCAAAACAACTCCGAATAACCATCCATTTATTGCTCTTCTGGTTTTTCACACTAGATCCGTCCTTAGTGAACAGTGACACGAATCTCAGGCTGCCGTGAGTTCACATTCCAAAAGCCAGATAGGACTTGGGGTCCTGGCTTTCCTCGGCCTCGTTTCATCTCCATCTCAAAAATGACGGGAATGACCCGTCGTAATCTCCCGCCGCAAATTTTCCAGCCGGGGAGACTTGTTCACTCCCTAACGTCTCTAATCATATCACATGTAACGTTGAAACATCCGGTCCCCATTGGCAGGTGGGGGGCTTTCAGGAAATAATTGCAAGGAAAGAAGACAGTCCAGTGTCCGCCCAGTACCTCCCAATCTCTTGCTCTTGGTAAAGGAAACCTTGACAAAGCCAATCATATATTTGCAGAGAAAACCAGAGGACCCGCACATGTTCCTGTTCCGTGGGAGCAGACAAACACCCCTGCTATTCTCTGGCTCGCTCATGACGAACAGGATACACAAGATAAAATACACACTCCTTGACCGGGATCTGACAGAACATCTGCCCGCTTTACTTGGAATAAAAAGTCATACGTACATGGTAGTTTCCACTTGCAAACGTTTCAAATGGTGAGTCCGGTGCCAGAAGGCCAACAGGCTTCTCAGCTGCCGGTGGGACTTGTTTCAGGAGGTAAAACGATATATATGACTGCATGTTGGCTCAAAGAGAATCAATCTCTCACATGCAATGACACCTCACACCGATCACATCTGCACGCAGCAGGAGTGGGAATGGGAACCGACTGGTGCTAAATGGTGAACGTGATCCTGGAAAGGGGTCTCAAGAGGTTCATAGGTATCTACTTCAGCTGACGTTGAACGTGTGAGAGCTTTACCTACATCACAACTACCCATTAGGGTTTTCTTCAAGGTGGTCTTGGATGGGTTGGTTTTGGTCTGTACTCAGGTTAAATTGCGTGTGTTAATACCTGAAGAGAGGACTCCAAGGTGCAATCGTGAGAGCGGCGGCACACAGAAAACTTCATGCCCGAATGCAAAATTCCGATTTAATACTTTTAACTGTCGCCACCCAACTTCCAAATACCACAAGGTGGTGCCAAAGCACTACTTTTCTATTAGACGGGGCTTTGGCGTGTCTCATAGAAGCATTTTCCCCCCTCACTGCAACACAACCAAGAGCGCAAGTAACGTCGTGAATGGGGAGGGGAACACTACACGTCAATGATCGGTGTATTTTTAGCATGTCAAGATCGCACTATAATGGGGTCCATCGCACCTTTGCATTTCGGTTACACTCATTTTTATGGAAGCCTAATACCATTCTGAAGATATCCAAGTCTATGATACATATACAAATTGTTCCACTTGAGGAGGCCATACATGCCATACATGTCCATTTTAGATGTCAAGAACCAATGCCGTAAAAGGGAGAACATGCTGACACGACCTCCCTCCACCAGAAATGTATCATTACAAATTGCAGCAAAATGCAATGTTGCCTTATAAGTTACTTTCATTTAAACAATGACATACTTTTTTCCAAATAAATCCGTCCAAGTTTCGGCATCAATTGCAATCTGCGAATTATATACAATGTAATTGCAGTTTGGACTGCAGTCAATTCACATCCATCCATCCATTTTCCTGACCCAAAGCCCCTGCGGCAAATTGTGTTAATGATGTTTTGCTGCGTGTATATGATATGAAATCATACAAAAAGCAATAAAGGACATGTTACGCTCATGGAGGTCTGCATATTTCTGATAGCTTAATGTTTAGTAAAAGCAAGACTGCCTGGGGTGTGAAGGGGAAAAAAAAAGCTTCAAGCCATCCTGCATGTTTGCACATGTTCGCAAGCCTCATTTTACCACCCGTCTTCATTTGCACTCGTGAACTATATAAAACCACAATATGCAGTACTGTAAAGGCCTTGAATGTCTGGGGAAGGCAAATGAACAATAAAATGCCGTGCGGGACACTTAATAATGCCACTTTCGCTTTGCAATTTCGCCTCATAACAAAGCCTGCAGTAAGATTCATTGCACCTTTAGGTGAAATACAATGACTCCATAAAAAGACATTAATGTCGCCATTGGAATTGGTAAAACTGCCCCATCGGCTTTCCGAGAAACACGTACTGCCTTTGCAAAGCTGGAGACGTGCCTTAACACAAATAGTGCCCGTAGCGTGATGAGATAACAACAACGGTATGACAACAGCTATCCGCCTTGATCCGTGCTCATCTATCAATGCTCGTTTGGAAAATGTGAGAGAAACTACTATACGGCTTTGATATTGCGTTAGAAATCAGTTCAAAAACCCACTGGTTAAATTCAACATTGACAGTGTGTGTATGAAAACCACAAGGTCTGTTGTATATCACTGTGTTTCCAAAGCAGCAAGGACTTTTGTAATTATTACCAGACAAATTGAAGCCAAATGCACATTTTTTTTTTTTTGTCTGTGATGTTTGTCTTCTGTTTCATGCCCTTGGTGTATATAATTTGTGTTTGATAAAACCCAATGTGTTCCCCATTACTCTCTTACAATGCAACGATCTGCGGTGTGGTCCACCTGCTGGCTGTGGATCCCCTCTGGTTAAAATAATGTTTTTGAGCAAAAAGAGATATTAGTGGCTGAGAAAAGTTGGCGCTCCTCAACATTCTGAGCTCCTCTTGTCATGCCGCTAACAGCCTCCCAAATCAAGTCTCTGCTGAAAGATGAAAGGGGATTTGGAGGTGGGGGGGTGTGTGTGTGTGAAGGAGAGGGGGGGTGGGGGGGGGGGCAGAAAAATCCGGCACACTTGTCCAGGCATCTGCGGCATGTTGCTTGAATTCTCGTTCGCTTGATGTTGAGGTGTGGTCTCTCCGTGCTACGGCTTGTCTGCAGCCGTGCATGCACAAATGAAGGAAGCCCCCGAAGAGTGAACCATAAATGTCCATTTTAAGCTGTTCTAAAGTGGGATATAAATATAATTGATAAATATTTTTAAATGTGAGATAACCCACACATGATGAGTATAAAAAAAAAATCTGCATTTGTGTGCTTACTGCTCTTGTTTTATGCTGTGACATCGTGATGACGAACACAGCACATCACACACATAACAAAGTCTGTACCCAGAATGACATGTGACAGGCAGTACGGTTGGTAATCTCCCTCTCAAGTACTCTCCCCTGACTGTGCGGAGCGCATATTGGGCTTTTGATGACGTACAGGTATAGGTCGAATGTATACGGATTAGCGATCATACTTCAGACACATCATGTACAGATTTATAGCCACATAGGCCAAAGAAGAGCATTTCAGGTGTTTGTTGAGAAATACTATTATTCATTCATTCATTCATTTTCCGATCCTCTTTATCCTCACAAGGGTGCTGGAGCCTATCCCAGCTGTCTTCGGGCAGTCGGCAGGGGACACCCGGAACCGGTTGCCAGCCAATCACAGGGCACACACATAGACGAACAACCATCCACACTCACACTCACACCGAGGGACAATTTTGAGTGTTCAATCAGCCCGCCATGCAGGTTTTTGGAATGTGGGGGGGAAACCGGAGTACCCGGAGAAAACTCACGCAGGCACGGGGAGAACATGCAAACTCCACACACTCCACTCCGGAAGTGAACTCACGACTTCTGCACTGTGAGGTCGATGCGCTAACCACTGGACCACCGAGCCGCCCCAAATTCACAATCAATACTTATCAATATAAAAAGTTTAAATACAGGTAAGTCTCATCGTACTCGCCAAAGATGCTAATGCACAGGCTCCTTCCTGACTGTGCATGTTTCTCTCCCAAATTTTATGGATTTAAACAAGCCACTCAGCAACAGTGTTGGTTGGTCTACCCTCATAAGGTCTAGCTTTTTTCTTGAAAAGTGCTCCTTGAAAATGAATTTTTAATCATAGTCTGACATCAC